TGGAATCGGTTGGACCCTCCCCCCCCCCCCCCCCCCCCCCCCCCTCTCTCTCTCTCTCTTAGTTTATATGATGTTAGGGGATGGCCTTTTGATACAATCACATAAAAAGACCCAGGGATTCCATAATTGAAAAGAAGATATTTGTTAGAGTATTTATACTTGATTTCTTTCTCTCTCTCTCTTTTATAGAAAAGAAATTCAGGCTAGAATATGAACCTCATTATAATTATGATCCACACTAGTGCAATACATGATAATAAATTGCTAACTTGATAATAAAATAGAGCAATGCGACATACAAGCCTAATTTCTGACTCTGCACCAGTAGAGGTCCTTTTTTCTTAACAAATCACCTTGACAGACCACCACATCCACAGTCAAGTACTTTGTGAAGAAAACACAATAAATGTGTAAAGTATCTTAAGTGTGGACAATGAGACTGATACACTTGATTCTTTTGCCCTAATTGAGGATGAGGTCTTAAATCCCAGTGGTCACATTCTTGGTGGAAGCAATTCCATAAATGAATTTTATAGCAGTTTTTTTGAAAATTGGGTGTCATTTATGAGTAGGCTAATGAGAAAGCAGCCATCTTTATGTCAAAGCGTAGGTATATATTTTGTTTTGGTTGGAGGAGGAGGAGTGGTATCAAGGATAACTGTGAGTGATGGCACTTATAGAAGCTCATACCCCATGTAGCGGGGGTGATAGTTCATAATGTGTCTACTTGATATCCCACTTGTATGATTTACATCTATATGAGCCTTGTGCCCCCCGCTCCAACACAAACAAAGCCTTTGGTCACATGGAACTTGTACTCGATGCTCTATACAAACGGTCTACGGTTTTGATTTGCAACCAAAAGCGAAATGGCAGTTTCAATCCAAACTCCTCCTTAAAAGGCTTTTTAGTTAAAAAGCCCCGTAAGATTTTTTATTTTTAAACCTGCAATTTAATAGTGATTCAAAATTATCTTTTAATTGAACTTCATGCTTTGGACAGATTATTGTTAGAAATATATAGCAAACTTTTCTCTTTACTCTTTATTGGCATATTGACTTGATGCCAGGTGAAAGGACCTGATGGTGAACAAATCCATGACACTCGTGACAAAACTAGTGAGAAATTTGAGTTTATCGCCCACAAGAAAGGGGTCTACAACTTTTGCTTTACCAATGGGTCCCCGTATCATGAAACAATAGATTTTGATGTGCTTGCCGGTCACTATGGATATGTTGATCATCATGCAAAAGATGGTAATAGCTCAATACATTGCCTTATTTGAACAAAAAATTTCTACTGTTTCATTTAAGGAAAATCTTATGAGGCCAATGTGTCAATTTGCAGAGCATTTGAATCCAGTGTACGAACAGATTAATAAATTGGAGGAGGCTCTCTACAACATACAGTTTGAACAGCACTGGTTGGAGGCTGAGACCGATCGTCAAGCAATAAGTACGTTCTTTGGGAACATTTTTTATTTCAATTCATGCTTTCTTTATAAAAATTTCTGTTTCCTGTGTATTCCAAAAGTGAACTTTATAGTAACTAAAAGTTGGTTTAGATCAAAATTTCCAAAATTAGACCTTTGCCAAAAGTATGCAATTATAAGGATTTAAGCTTCTCTAGAATATCAGGAAGATGTTATTCTATGAATACAATTATTGTTCATGGGAGACAGTATTAGATCAGTTCATCTTTTAGGCCCTGCGAACTAGATATTTACAGACTTGTTTTAGTCCGGTGCCAATTTTGATTCAACATTAAGTGAACTATACCATGAACTTGTGATTATGTGTTCATGAATAATTTTAGCTGGGAGCTGTTCTTTATGCTTTTGCATAATTAAATTGAAATTGGATATTTTTGTTGTAATCCCCGTCTTGCGCTTGCCTAGAATATGCTTCCCTATCTTGGAAGTTATATGATCAAATAACATCCTAAATTGCATGTTTTTTACTAGAAAAATTGCTAATAATGTGCCTTTGTAAACTTTTTTAAGGATAGGCAAGTATCAGTTTTATGCATCAGGGAGTGAAACTTGGAGTAAAAATTATCTCTTGCTGGTTGTAGAACGAGCTGTAAAATATGCAGAATTCTCCCTTATCGTTTAAAAATGTAGTTCTTGTGTGCATTTGTTAACAGCATGACAAATATGACTTGAAATTTGCCTGATTTTGATGCAGTTAACGAAGGAATGAGCAAAAGAGCAATCCATAAGGCAATCTTTGAATCAGCAGCACTTATTGGGGCGAGTGTTCTCCAAGTCTATTTGCTCAAACGCCTTTTTGAACGCAAGCTTGGGACATCCAGAGTTTAATGTTTTGTTGGTGAATGAATACCTGTTGCCCCCAATTTTAGAGCAGCTTCATATAGTTCCCACTTTTGTGCTTTTGCCATTCCTTTTTTTTCCTTCTTGGTAGGTAGTTACCTCTATATGTTGAGAATTACCTCTATATGTTGAGAATGGCAATTACCTCTATATGTTGAGAATTTATTTATCTTTTAGGTTTCGGTTTCGTGTAGTCTGTAATATGTATTGTACTAGTATCAAGTATATTTTGTATCTCTATTTATATTTGGTTATCCGCACTCTCTTGAGATGTTAGTTGTTAGTTGGATGTGCAAATGCACTTGAAAAGTCTCACAAAAGTGTTTCCTGATTACATATATACTCAATTGATGTTATGCCATTTCTAGTTTATATTTATTTATATTGTTTCATATAGCAAGCAACCTAGCCCATGTTTAAAAAAAAAATAGATCTTGTTTCCTGTTGCTTTCATTATATATATATATATACTTCCTCCGTTCTATTAATTTATGACTTTATGTGATTACATTTGTTATTTTATTAGCTGTATGTAATATATCATTTTTTCCGTATTTGTTTTAAAATATTAGATAAAATTTCTAATCTCAAAAGATAATATTTCGTATTTAATTAATATTTTGTATTTAATTAATATAACCATTAAAATCTCATTGGTCAATTATGCTTATGTGGCACTTGAATTATTTATTAGATATAACTATAAATTATAATCCTACGTGGCACGTTAACTAATCTTAGGTGGCATAATTCTATTGTAGTGTTTTAAAAATATTAATCCTATGTTGCGCTCTAATAATTTTTAAAAATAAAAATCCTACGTGGCGCTCTAAAAACTCGGGAAAAAAACTCTCCTTTATATATATATATTAGATTACAACAATGGACTTTTTGCACTATTCATCACATCTTGTTTGACTATATAATGAGTTATAAGTTAAGCAAAATATAATCAAGTGAGATCTTGTTGGATTCGTCTCATAAAATACTTTCACAATATCAACTTTTTATAATTTTTACTCTTACACAATTATAGATATTTAGCATATAAAAGGTGTTTCGGGATGCGTAATTTCCTCCTTGTTGCAATATTAACAGAACGGAGGAAGTATATATATATATATATTAGGGGTGCTCATAACCGGGTACTCGGGTTTTAACCCGGGTACCCCAAAGAGCGTGTACCCGGGATTCCGGGTAGTAAATCACTCGGCCCATTACCCGACCCGGTAAAACCGGGTACCCGGTTAACAGGTACCCGTTTTAGCGGGTCGGGTCACAGGGTACCCGGTTATTTTTAACAGGTACCCGTTTTAGCGGGTCGGGTCACAGGGTACCCGGTTATTTTTTTATTTTTTTTTTGAAAAAAAATCTACCTAATACTAACTCAAATTAAATCTTTAATAAATACAAATTTGCTCTTTCAAAAAAAAAAAAATATTAACACAAATCTGTCATAATACTAATTAACTTAGAGCATGCTCATATAACAACAAAATTCCAGAAAATCAGTCAAAATTCATAGACAATAACATAGAAATCCATTTTGGTAATTTAATGAAGCCCCCACATCTGAGCAAACTTTTAGTATTTATATTTCTACTTATAATTACAATTGCAAACAGCTAAAATAACAAACAAATTTGCAACTTATTATGAAAAATCTGATGGGTAAGATGTGTCAAGCTGGAGCAGCAGATGAGTACGGTGTGTGGTCGCACGGAGCAGCAGCGAGAAAGATGGCCTCCAGGTCTGTGGTCACGCAAAGCAGCAGTACATGGGTGGGTTCCGGTGTGGTCTGAGGTCGAGTCGAGTGGTGGTTTGAGGTGGAGTGAGCATCATATCTCAAATCTAGAGAGATAGGGAGGAGAAAACTAGTGTGTATGCGGTGAAGTGGTCGCTTGAGATGTGTAGTGAGATTTGAGAGTGATGAGTGTTTGAGTGATGATAGAGAAGAGAGGAGAGGTGAGGTGTGGCGGCTACTCAAATAAGAGTAAGGTGTTAGTAAACCTAGAGGAGTAAAGGAATTCCAGCCAGATAAAAAGGAATGCGGGTATTTAACGGGTACCCGTTACTGTCAGAGGGCGGCCCATTACCCGACCCGTGAATTTAATTTTATACCCGACCCGCTAAAATGGGAAAATTTTCAAAAGTACCCGTCGGGTATTTTGCGGGTCAGCGGGTCAGGTATTTTTCAACACCCCTAATATATATATATATATATATATATATATATATATATATATATATATATATATTAATGTTAATAATTATTATTGTCTATAGTAGCAAGTAAATGAACATGGCAAAAGCTAAAAAAACCCCAAGAACATATTAACTTGAAATAAACATTAACTACATTGATTACCGTGTGACTTTGACATATATTTCCAAATTAATACCATTTTAGGAACTGTTTCAAAGGGTTATCCAATGAATATCGTATTTCATTTTTCATACCTTTGTGATAAACAAAATTTATGAAAGTATTATACAAGTATGTGAAGATGAACAATTAGGCCCCTACAAATTAATACAAGATGATGGACTTTGAAGTTGAAAACCATCAGTTTTCACCTGTCAATGATAATAACACAATACCAACTGTTTAATAATCCAGCTGATGGACTTGCACTCACCATTCAGGTTAATTGCAATATGCAATGGATTCAATTCCATTTTCGAAATCAGCATTCGGCTTATTATAACTTAAAATCAAGAATAGACAGAAACTTCAAGATGAGATACTAAGAATACAACTTATGCCCCATTCAATAGGTCAGTCCTAGTACAACATAAAACAAATACTATCATATCATCTAAACTTCCAAACGCGGAAAAAAAAAAAAAAAGAAAAACAAAAGCTACCAAAGTACAAAAACATTTGTACCACTATTAATTTTTTTAAAAAAATTGCTTGCACAATTGGAGCCATATTAAGGGCATAAAAATGTCATAAATGACAGGTTGTACACTTATTTCTAACTGCTCCTCCAACATTGTGATGAGCTAAGTCCTCAATAAGCCTGCAATGTAAAAGTATAATAAAACACATTTTAGAATTCGCTCCCAGTCAAATTTATTTAGTATTCTTCACTGAATGATAATACTAAAATATACTGTGGGAATTTCTATTTCAGAAAGTGTAGAACCATATAAGGGGCAAAAGGAGGAATGAAGATGCCCAGAGCTTGACGAAATATTAATAATCAAAACTGCAATGAGTAGGACTATTGCTTAGGGTTACCTTAAATATCAAGTCTTACAAAAGCTCTACAACGAGAGCAGATGCACCACCTCCACCATTACAAACACCAGCAACACCATATTTCCCACTTTTCTGTCGTAATACCTGTAAAAGCAATGCAATCACAATCAGGAAAGAGGCAATAACAACCCCGTCAAAAGATACAGCCAACCAAAAAAGGGTTGCATTCAGATACTTTTGATAACTTGTTTTAACCTAATATACCCACTATTGTATGAGGATGACAGAATTGTTACGGTGTCAAATGTGCCAAACTATACATACACCATAAAAGAGCAAATAGAGCCATACCCCCAAAAGTGTAACGATGATTCGTGCTCCACTGCACCCAAGAGGGTGTCCCAAGGACACAGCTCCACCGTGCACATTTACTTTATCCTGCAGAATTGAGGGTAGATGTAAACAAACACTATCAAGTCGAAAGGCTCAAAACCTTGTTAGCATATGAAGAAACCATAATAGTACAATGATGTGGACATGACAGCTTCATGCAAACATAATTGAGCATAAATATATTTTTTTTTTCAGTGTGCAAGAAGTTTTAGGTCCCAAGAGACTGACCTCAGAAAGCCCAAGCAATTTCATATTCGCAACAGAAACAACCTGCTCATGTCAGAAGAAGATTAATTAAAAAATAATGACAGATTGACAGTTGCTCATAGTTTCAATCATGACGAAGAAAAAGAGCACTTACAGCGAAAGCTTCATTTATCTCATAGTAATCAATCTGTGAAGCATTCAAGCCTGCATGAGAAATGGCCTTTGGTATTGCGAGGGCGGGAGCTGTCGTGAAATTCTCTGGAGCCTGACCATTAATTAGGATTCAATAACACAACAATACCCATGATGGCACAATTCAAAATGCATATTAGCCAATAAAAAAACATATTACGTTATAGATAATAATAATCCTCCAAATTTTTTACATAAAACTCTAGAGTATGTTGTCTACAAGTAAAAAATCCATGCAATACCTGAGCGGCATCTCCATAACCACTAATCTTAGCAATCACCTCTAACCCAAGCTCTAGTGCCTTCTGTCCACTCACTAAAACAATTGCAGCAGCACCATCACTGTCATCAAACAATAAAATTGTTAGAAGAGTGCATGGACTGCAAGTTTGCAACATTTGACTTCCCTACATATATATCACCTAACAAGCACAATATCCACAAGAAAGTATTTCCAAAAACATTATACATAAGCTTATGACAAACCTTATGCTAGAAGCATTTCCAGCGGTAACAGTGCCTCCATCTGCTTTGAAACTTGGTCTAAGTTTTCTTAATTTCGCAGGGTCATACTGCAACACACAAGAGAAGAAAAAAGATGAACTCAAGTAGCCCATGATAAAGATAGCATAAACAGAAATAAAAATCTTGGCAGAATACAGATGTAAAATCATGAACAGTAGTTCAGAGAGCTTATAAGCCACTAGATAACAACTTTTTCATTCTTTTTTTTTTTTTTGATAAAAGATATTGAAAATTACATAGAAGGGCTACTTCTTGGCTACACCAGGACCACGCCAATAACTCAATAGTCTCCACAAGGTCATTGCATTTTGAAAGTCATAAAAGAAAAATTGAATAGGAAAGGAAAAAGGTTTTTGGTAAAATAAATGAAAAGACACATAGCATCAAATAAAATCAATATTACAAAGAGATAAACAAACATTAACGTACACATATTAATCACTTTTTCAACATGAGATGTCATTGACAATGTTAGTTATCATTATTATACCTTAGTAGGGCCTTCATCTTTATCAACGACTGTTGTTGGTTTTCCCCTTCCACCAGAAACTTCAACCTGCACCGATACATATATATATCAGTATGAAACAATCACAGAAAAGAGAATGAAAATATAACAACAAAGTTATGCCCTTACGGGAACTATCTCCCATGAAAAAGCACCGGCCTCCTGAGCAGCAACACCACGCTCAAAGCTTTGGCAAGCATAGTTATCCTGTAGTGACATGCAAAACAAGTAATTTATTCAGTGCATGAAATAGAGAAGAAATGCAATAGCTTTTACCACATAGGTTTAATTTAAAGGTTTATTTATAAATTGTGGTGATAATATGGACTTATCTCCAACTTTAAGCATAATTGCATCAAAAAACAATTAGTTAGTGCAAGACATAGTTACCCTATATATGGACAGTACAAGCATTAAAAATGGAGTCAAGACTTTACCTGATCCTCTCTTGTTACTGCATGATGTTCTGCACATAATTCAGCACAAACTCCCATGCCACAATCATTGTAAACATCCCACAGCCCATCTTTGAGCATCCCATCGACAAGTGTATCATGTCCAAGACGGGAACCCTTCCTGAAATGTTGGCATATAAGGTGAGATGTATATTACATGCACTGGTTTATGGGACGTGAGAAGAACAGCTCTAGACAGGTAAACATAAGACAATAATACATCATTCAGATAGTACTGTGGGATGGTCTAAAAAGGTAAACATAAGACAATGATACAACAATGCCCTTCTATGCATTGTTTTGGTTATTTGCCTCATAAATTCACTTCCATCGTTTATTTATTAATTATATCATTATGGGGTATATATTTATATTGATAGGAAGGGCTAAGGGCACTTTATGAAGTTACTAAACCAATTAAGTAAATTGATAACAAACACTAGAATTAATAAGATTGTAGCATCAACCTGGCTTCAGCTATGTATTTAGGGGCATTTGACATGCTTTCCATGCCTCCTGCCACAACAACGTCATTGAGGCCCAATTGGATACTTTGTGCCGCAAGCATCACAGCTGTAAACAAAGAAAACAGGCAAATATGTTTTCAAAATTGTATTACATGCAAAGAATGTTTAATGGTATATGATAGTGCACACTATACCTTTCATCCCTGATGCACAAACTTTATTGACCGTGGTACATACCACTGTATTTGGTATTCCTGCCCCTAATGCTGCTTGCCTTGCAGGAGCCTGACCCAAATTTGCACTAAGAACATTTCCGAAAATCACTTCTTGTACAAGGGATGGATCGATATTTGCCCTTTTCAATGCACCTACGTTTTTTGTAAGTGAAAATCAGTCACTTTATTTATTAATTTATATGTTAAAAAGGTAAAACACCACCAAAAGACTAGTACAATATAAGACTATCTAATAAATAGACATAATCTTACCCTCAATAGCAACAGATCCAAGCTTAGTGGCCGTCAAGGATGACAATGTACCAAGGAAACCACCCATGGGTGTACGCGCAACACCAACAATGCAGACATCTGCATAAAGAAAAACAAGACAATTGTATGGACAATATAAATCTCGAATCTCAAGAATCTATAACTCATGAAATACTAGAAGGATCTTTTGTTGCCAATATAAGCTTCAGATTTCTAAACACAACAAAAGAAACCCAATAATTTCTTCCTAAGCTTCCATTATCGACCTTTAAAAGATAACTTCCAACATTGTTTTCCTTTTAAATCATTCATTACTACATTAAATTCTATATCAAAATCAATTTCCTCAAAGATCAATAATTCCTTGGGCAAAAAAGGGGTTTAATTCCTTGCATTATTCTAAAAGCAATTATGATTATTATTCTAAAAAATAAATGGGATCAATAATTATTCTAAAATCAATAGTAATCAATAATTATATTAAAAACCAAAAATTCCTTACAAAAAAAAGGTCTAGTTCTATATCAAAATCAATTTCCCACATTTGAAATACTAGGAATAAAATAAATAATAATATAGCATCCCTTGCATTTGCACGGGTACACTCTAGTGTGTTCAAGATTATAAGATGATCATCAAGCTTTTTCTACGTCACACCAAGCAAAATACCGCTATAAATCACTAAACCACTTCAAAAACACCTATATAAACACTTCACAAACTAAAATGTGCAAGAACAACAATCCATTTAAGACCCATAAGGCCATAATGCAAGCCAATCATAGATGTAATTAATGTAAAAGATCACTTAGGTGGCAACGTCTTAGCTAGGTTGCACGGAAACGGATATGGGTACAAAAACGGGTATGGGTACAGAGATGGGAAACGGCAAAAAAAAAAAAAAAAAAATCCAAAAAACGGGTACGGTAAAAAAATTTGATTTTAGAATTTTAGATTGATTTTTATTTGAGTTAAAAAATGAATTATTTGGATTTTAAATCGAATAATTATACACATTTTGGAATGAACATGACCCAAGACCTGATACCAAATCTCACATCGAAACAAGAACAAAACAGTGCAAATCAATTGAATTAAAGATTTAACCTTTGGGATTGATTGACTTGGAATCTAGTGCAGGAGTCATAATTCAAGTCGACGAATAACTGTAGAAGCAAAAATCACAAATCATTAGTCATATTCCCAAATTTGACACAATTACAAGATATAAAACACTAGAAAATTCAACCATTTTTTATGAATGATCCCAAAAAACAGCAGAAAATTCTACTTCAACAACCAAAATTCACAGAAATTCGATGACAAATAAAAAAATTATAACTTTACAAATTGAGAAATGAAACATTACCATTTAATCATCCTAACAAAAAAAGTCAATGAACAATAGTATTGACTACAGAAATCACAGTTTTTTTTTTGAGAACCCAGAAATGGCAGATTAAAAAGAGCGTGAAAAACAAGAAGAATTGATTGAAAATGTGTAAAACAAAAAATGGAGTTACTTACTTAAAGAAAGAGAGGAAATCAAAGTATTTGAAGAAGAGAGAGAGAGTATGGGAAGAAAGAGAGGGTGGCAAAGGCAGAGATTTATAGGACTTGAGAGTGAGGAGAGCACGAGGATCTCGCAGATTAAATCAAACAAGGCGTCCATCTCTGTATTCCAATTCTTTACTACTAACCCCGTCTTTTTTAATTGACACTGTTCTATTATCACACTTACTACCGTATATTTTTAATGCTTAATAAATCTAATTATCAACATTATAAAATTATAAAAGGTGGATATTAATAAAATATACATTGAGATGATTCAAATAAAATCGTACATGACTATATTTTATCTTATATATAAATCACAAAAACGAGTAGAAATGTAGTAGGTAAATAGTATAAAAATCAAACGATGTCAACTAAAAAAAGTATTTTTTTCTAGTTTTTTTTAATTTATTTTTAATTATTTTAAAACTAATTTAATTGTGTTTAAGTTTCTAAGTTGGAGAGCGAGAATGGTGGTAGAGTACTTGTACTTTTGTAGGACGTGATAAACGATTTCAATATCAACAATTTCATTTTCTAATTGGGTGATCTTGGTTATGTTATCTTCTTGTTATCTTGTGATTTTGTTGTCTTTGTTTTCAAATATTTGCTTAAGTTTCAAGATTTGAGATCTAATTTTGTGTTCATCTTTTGTTGTTCTCTTGTTTTTTCTTACCGATGTATTGTATATGATGGTCAAATTAAGGAATATAAATAATATAGAGGTTAAAACATTGTAATTTAAAAACAAAAATAAAAATAAATTTGGAGAAACACCAATTAATACTTTTTAATTTTATGTGTAATAAAAACGCAAGGTAATAAGATCTCCGACTTCAAATACTTCGTACCTTGATAGGATTCGAACATTAGATTTCTAAAATACGGAGTATAAGGTAAGACTATTACTAAGTGAGTCAAACTTTATTAGACAATATATCCATCAAGGATATTGTACTATTAGTATAAGTAACGTATAATTGTCAAATTAGCTAGATCATCAACTTTTAACCAAGGAATATATAACATGCTCTAGTATTTAAATAAATTAAACGTTTTCCTTGTGCATGTATGCCAATGCAATACTTTGACTACTACTCCCTCCGCTCCCTTTTGTTCTTTACGTTTCCATTTTAGATGTTCCTTTTTATTATATACATTTAGCATCTTTTCTTTTTTAGACAAAATTACCCTTGCTTTATCATTTAAATACTCAAATATCCGTGCTTTTTAATTTGCATTTGTACCTTTAGTACTATTTTAATGGCTTTCTAATACTCCCTCCGTGTTTTTTTAAGTGTTACACTTACCAAATCCGGCCGTGTTTTAATAAGTGTTACACTTCCTTTTTTGGCAAAAAATTACATTAAAATATTATATATCTCTCCTTTCATAGGACCCACCCAAATCCACTACTACTTTTTATATTATATCTCTCCTCTCACATTCAATACTTTTCAATAAACTATTAATTCCACTATATTTCTTTTACAATTTTTTAATACTCCAACTACCTCACTTACTTCTTATTTTATTTAAGTCATTTAAATTGTCTAAAACTATGTGCGGGTCAAACTGTAACACTTAAAAAAAAACACGGAGGGAGTACTCATTGTTACTTTCTCTTTTTTTTTTTCTTTTTTTTTTTTTTGTGGGTGAAAGAGTCCTCTCTCTTCTTTTTCCTTCGTACTTTCTTCACCTCACATGTACAATATTTTTAAAACTAAAATTGAACTGTCAATCACTGAATTATTCCAATACACCTCAACTTTACACAGTTTCTTAATTACCGCGCATAATTCCAAATGTCAAAAACAAAAGGGAACGAAGGGAGTAATACCTTTATTTATCAATAAATAAAATTATTTGAATATTAATAAACTATTCATTGAAACAATTTTAACAAGTACCTACAAAACTATAAATATTTATTCTTATGCATTAATTACAAACATTAGTCAAAGTAAATAAGATGAATCCCTACCTTATAAAAAGTATAAAGTTGTTCTTATGAATAGTGCACGGACTTTTATACCCTTCACATTGTTATTTTACCTTTGTACCCCTATTTACCCTTCAAAATGTGTTTTACCTTTGTAGCCTTATTTGTAATTTTGTATTCCAATAGTCCAATTTCAAATTGTTCTTACCCGTCTACATTTCCTTACACATTTGAGCTTTCTCTCCTCCTCTCCATGACTCCATCTCTTGAAAGCTTTTAACTTTCTCTCTCCACACTATCATTGCCATTTCCAAGTACTAAATTCCACATCTTTATTCACCACCTTCCCAAAATTTCCAAATCAAATTGTGGCCAAAATAAATTTGACAATACTAATATATAGCGGTTGTTTAATATTGTTAGCCTCTGTGGTGGATTATGAATTGGTCGTTTTGGTTTCATCATTGATGATTCTTTCTCTATTTCGTATTGTACCACCACAATTAAGTAATGCTAATATCAACACTGCGAAAATAAACAAACAACAATTCTAACATTTGTTCCTTTTCTGCATCATATCATCATTGAAAAACCTAAGAATTATATTCTACAGTGACTCTACATAGTATTTCAATTAAAAGAATCACCATATACAAATAATAAAATAAAGATTTTTTTTCAATATACGAGATATTTCACACATAACATTCAACTTAGCACGACTACAAACAAACAATGCCTAAGCAATAAAAATACTACCTCCGGTTCAATTTATTCGCAACAAAGGGTATTATTTGTGAGACATAAGATATTTCTTTGTTGCGAGTAAATTGAATCAGAGGTAGTATATTCATTTGACGGTCTTTTATTCCTCCATGTGAAGTGCAAACACAAGACAAGTAAAATTAAGTTGCAAATTAAAGGCTAGCCATTCCGCGCGCAACGCGCGCGTTGACTGCCCTAGTAATATAAAAAGTAAAAATGTTTCATTTATTTGAACACAAAGCCACAGAGGGGATAGCATATATAGTCGGTCTACAACAAAATAAGAATTTTTTTTTTTTAACGAAGGATGACCAGGCCATATGGGCTACCTGGTTTACAAAAGAGTTTACAAAAGTCACTAAAAACAAGTGATAAGGAGATCAATATTAAGGATGCTAATTTTCATAATCTATGAATAATTAATCTAATTGGGTTTTAAAGAGTCAAATAATTCTGGTTGGTTAATACATGTGCTAGTGGATTGTTGATGTTTATGCCAAATTTCGCCTAAAGGCGACCTACGATTGGGACGTACGACAACTAGAGTACTAATTATGTAAATTGAATAAGGAAACGAATGAAAAGCTATAAAAGACAAGGTATTTTGGCGACGCAGAAAACCCAAATGTGGGAAAAACTGCGGGTGGGTGCAAGACCACCGATTTACTATGGAAAACTGATGATTATAATAAGTATAAGAACTTTTGATGCTAAGTTGAATGCGAGTGAGTTGTGTCTACTGAATACAAATGCTAAGTATTTATACTGAAGATAAATAATTAACTAAACCTAGCTGGAGAGTCGTTTGGAGTTGTCAATCGTTCTCCTAAAATCACGGAGGCAGTTGCTTGGACTTAGTCCTGAGTTTATCTTTTTGTTGAGGATAGTCTTGAACGGATTTCTGTTTAAATAGGATTAAAGATACTGCTGGGCAAAGATATTTCTAAGACTTGGTCAATCCTTATCTTTCGCTGAATCAGTTACCTCCTTGTACGATGTCCAGTCTTGTCGTGCGATCTGTCGTGCGTCTGGACGTGCCTAAAATTCGACCATAGCAGTTGACATGACAAATTCTTCCAATCAAGATTTATTATAGGTGATTTATGAAGGAGTTCTATCTTTGATAAGTGCAATTACTAGATATATCAAGGATCACTATTATGGAGATAATAAGTTCGTTCTTTTAGGTCGTCATTATTTGTTGCTAGACTATGATCAATGATCTTTGGGCAAGTCAAATAGTTCAAAGCCCACTAGAATGGATCCTATGAGGTAACACACAAAGGTATTGGGTTAAGTAAGTTAGAAGCCCATTTTATGGGCCTCATGAACAAGTAACTACAATAGGTCTATGATAGACCCTGATCCATCTAAAATAAGTGGACCACCAGCCCAAATACAATCCACCAGCAAAAACAAAACAACAAATAACGCGGCCTAAACTCTTGTTTCTTTCTTTCCACTCCAACAAAATTGACATAACATTAAATATGAACATTCACTCTTTCAAAGGCTGAAAAATTCTCATTTCTCTCTCTACAAATTCGAGCATAGCCATGGATGAAAAGCAAGAAACCAATGCAGAAGGTAAATAAAATATCTGAACCTATACTTTCTTTAAATTTCTTTGAATTTGCAATTACTCGTTCGTAGTTGTTATAATTTGTTAAAATTTCATTCATAGTTTTTATAAATTGTGTATAATTTCTAAACAATTTTCACATTTTTAGGGACCCAAATTCTTCTAATAGTGATGAAGATAAATTGTAAGTAAATTAAAACCCTATATAATTGTTGAATTTTGAAATTAAATGATGAATTGAAACCCTAAGTTATTTGAACAGGACAATTTCTCAAATCCGAAACAAAAGGAAGAAGAAATTGGATATAACAAGTCAAATTGTTGATCCAAAGATTTTAAAAGAGATAGACAAGCAACATTCAGAAAATGCAGAAACCGGGTAAATAGGTTCAAATATTTTGTGTTTTTAGTTCATATAATTCGTGATTGCTGTTCAAATGATTTGTGGTTTTAGTTCATATAATTTGTGATTACCGTTCAAATATTTTGTGGTTTTAGTTCATGTATTTCGTGATTACTGTTCAAAAATTGATATTGTTATTTTTTAAACTAAGAAGCATTATTTTATAAGTTCAAATATATTGTGTTTTTAGTTCATATAATTCGTGATTACAGTTCAAATATATTGTGGTTCTAGTTCATATAATTTGTGATTAATGTTCAAATATTTTGTGGTTTTAGTTCATATAATTTGTTATTACTGTTAAAATGTTTTATGGTTTTTAGTTCATATAATTTGTGATTCCTGTTCAAATTTTGATATTGTTATTTTTTAATCCTAGAAGTATTTGTTTTATTACAGCAACCAATATGAACTTCAACCCAAATCCACCACCCAACACCAATCCAAGAAGCTGAGAATCAAGCTCAAAAGGAGGCTGAGAATCAAGCTAAAAAAGAAACTTAAAAGGAGACTGAGAATCAAGCTAAAAAGGAAGCTCAAAAGAAGGCTAAGAAAGAGTCTCAAAAGAAGAAGGTTCAGAAGAAGCAAGAAAATGTTCAGAAGAAGAGAGAGGAAGTTCAGAAGAGTGAAATTAAGGAGAAAAAAAGAAAAAGAAGAGATAATGTTGATGATTTCATTGATCCAGACAATGTTGTGGATCTAAATTATGATCGAAAAAGAAGTAAAAAAAAAATCAGATTAAACAGGGAGTAGGGATCTTATAAAGAAGGGAAAAAAAAGTTAAAATGACGGGATTTGAAGAACAAGGTGAAGTTATGTTTAATTAAGAGAATAGTGCATTTAATGCCTGGTCCACATAGGATAGGTGGACCAGGGTCTATGTAAAAATTTGTAAAGTAACTAATCATGAATTGGATTGGGCTAGCATAGTTAAATTAGAGTTAGGTTTTGGACTTAGTCATGGACTCTTATTTAGAGATGAGATCTATAAATAAGGTCCACGCCTAGGGTTGTATGATACTCCCTCCGTCCCCGATTGATAGTCACTTTTGAAGAAAATCACGGGAATTAAGGAGAATTAAAGAAAGTACATTAAAAGTAAATTTACATTGGGTATGCAAAAAAGTAGAGTGAGAAAGTAATTAAAGTACATGGGAAATTTAAATTTACATGGGAAATTTAAATTTGCACAAATATTTTTGCAAATGTTAGAGAATTTTAGTAAAAAAATAATATTAATAGTAATTGAAAAAAGCAAATGTGACTAACATTTTGAGTCAACAAAAATGATAAAAGTGACTATCAATCGGGGACGGAGGGAGTACAACACAATTAACAGTTGATTGTGCATCAAGCAACCAGAAATCCCAAAACCCTCACCCTCTCTCTTTCTCTCTATCCCACGCCTCTCTCCTCCCCCCTTTAGACTCACGGCCGGCCACTCTTAGTGGCGCGTGGGGTGGTTCGTGATTTGTTCGTTGCTCGTTCTTCTCCTTAAAAGGTCAATTAAAGGGTTCAATTGCAACTAACTAGCATTAGTGGAGGTTTTAATTTGTGCTTGTGGACCAAGTAGAGGAATCACGTTTGAGGTTCTTTGTCTCCCTTGTTCTTGTTTGATCGCACGTGGAATCACGCTTCAAAGGTATTAATTCTAATTCTTTATGTGTTATGCATGATCTTGGGATTAGGTGCTATATGAATATGATTCATGTTTTCCGCATTCGTACCTATAAACTCCTACAATTTAATTACAACAAATTCCCATAAATTAAATAAATAAAGTAGGAAAGACAAAACATTAATTACATAGCTGCAATAAATTCCAAATTATAAGGATTCCTCCTTTTTTCATTTTTTATAGTGATTGATTCCAAAGAGCACTTAACAAAGTGAAACAGAGGGAGTAATTTACTTTATTTACCCATCTTAAACAAACTTAAATGGTTTGAAAGTAAAGCAAGAATATTTTAAACCATAGAGCGACACGTGTCAAAGCTAGTATAGTTCGAGTGTCTTATGTTTTAGTGTATACTAGTTTTGTGCCCCTTGCGATGCCCGAGTTGTTTTTCAAACTTTGAAATAAATTTTTAATCTATATGTCAAATTTCAAAATATATCTTTAATTTGAAATTAGTTAGGAATTGATATGCTTTTGTAACGATTTAAACTATGTAGTAGGCATGTAATAAATGACTAATAATAATATTGGTATTTTATGAGAGTGGGGGATAGCTTAAGTGGTTTGAGCTTCCCTCCTGACCTAGGAGGTCTTGGGATCAATTCTCACCCCTACCCTTATGAGCTCTCTAAACACCAAAAAAAAAATATTGGTATGTTTTTTAGAGTTATAATCTAATTATTTTTTTGAATAAAATTATAATTCAATTTATACATATGAAATATTTTAGAGTTATAATCTAATATTTTTTTGAATAAAAGTATAATTCAATTTATGCCTATGAAATGTTGGTATTTTTTGGAAAATAAAACTCTCAACTGACAATTTTATTCTAAAACTTCATCCAATAAATTTGATTGAAACTAATTAATTTATCTAATGAAGTCTATCTAAATACATCCAACGTGGCGCGACACTTGGCGAAAAGTTCGTTGTCTCGTGGCCTGGCTAAAAGCTTAGCTTTATATATTAGTTATATGATATAGATTAGTTTTATGATTAGTTAAGTGGTTATTCGTATATGAGTAAAATTATATTGTTAATTGGATATTCATTTTAATTATAAAATGTGATGTGTTGTTATAAATAAAAGTCTATTTTGTCAATAAAAAAAATTACTAGTATAAATTATTTTATGTATATTATTTTTATCCCAAACAAATCTATCCAATCCATTTTAACATGACATTTAATCTAATCACAATAATATCTATTTGTCGCTTATATGACTCGACACTTGGCGAAAAACTGGAATGTTAAGTGTCGTTATCTCGTGGTCTAGGTGCAAAACCGGCTTTATTAATTAGTGATATGGTATGATAACAACTGTATATCAAACAGATCACGGGCCAAAAGTCTATGATTGTTGATTATATTAACACAAATTACTGCACAAATCAATAGTACCACTTGACACACATACCATTTAACCTCTTTTTTTTTCTGTCTATTTTTTAAAAATAATTTATAATAAAATCATCAAATAAAGTTAATTCATTACATATAACCAACATTATTTCTTTCATATTCCCACTAACTTAAATATAGATTATAATAACATTAAACAGTTAAAATGCTCTAGGCATTAAGTAACTTGGATAATAATTTAAGTATCAAAGTGATGTGTTTTATTTTCTTAAAAACACACATCAAGGAAAAACTCGTGTGTCAAACGGGCCAAAAGGCTAGTTTAATTAATGAATAATTGATGTTAAATGAATTACAAGTACTATGTACATAATAACATAAGAATTTTCCACAGCTAGGATGTCATTGAACTCCCCTTCTTCAACCTTGCCACCTCAATTTCTTCGGTCGTATATAGTTTATCACCATGCAATGGTTATGTACCCTCCCCTGCAACTTCATCATATATATGAGAAGGCAATTGTATTTAATAATTCTTATATTTACAATATTTCTACAATTTACGAAGTGTATACACCAATTCTAAAAGACATTTGAATTCTTCATATCATGGTTTCAATCTTATCAAGTCTCTTCACTCTTTGCATGGACCTGATAAGCAAAGTCAGAAAAACACCTGCAACAAAATATGCAGTGATTTACTACCTTTGTGTAATGTATATACCAGAGAAACTTAAATGAAAATGCTTTTGCAGGCAGTGGAGTCTTACCTGCGCCTACAAACGAACTGTTAGCGACAATTTGACTTCCTTGGCTGCTGAAGGTGACCCCCAGGTTCAGCAGGGTACCGCCTAGAACTGTGTACATGGTTGCCATTTGCAATATTGTTGCCTTCCGAGCTGCTCTTTCTGACTAGAATAGTAGAGTATTTTACCCAACAAGAATTCAAGGCAGAAACTAGTCACGTTAATTTGCATATGCTCTTTTATAAAGTAATAATATATAGCTACAATTGCCTTCCTATCCATATTTTTTCAACACTCAGTCATCCAAAGCACAAGCAATGATGCATAGATGAGACGTCTGATTTTCTATAACAAGAAGTCAAGAATAGCTTTTGACCTATTGATATTTTTCACAGAAATTCCTACAGTATCATAGTATGTGTTAAAACTTAAAGCTTCCTTCGAAACGACACTAGTGTTCCAAAAATGGATGAACCCATCACACAGATCATATGTCTTGCCTTATAGGTTATAGCCCTAGACAGTTGCCCTGAAATACAGATGCTGTATAAAAATAGAGCTCAATCCCAACAGCTCCCTCAACTCCATGCTCAATTTAAAGAAAACTTCTCACATTAGCAGCTAACAAGTCGGTGCTAACTAGTAAGTTCCTATAAGAATGTATACAAGATCCAAAGTACAAATTGACAATACTGACAGTATGTTAAACAAAATTAGGACATATAAGACACAACTGCCCTGTCAAAAAAAGAAAAAAAAAAAAAAAAAAAGAAAAATAAAAGAGACACAATTGTAGGCTATGAAATGCACTGCATCCACCCATCCCAAATGACTTATCTCAACTAGGATAGTGTAACAAGTAACATGAACTCCATAGGCTTCCATGAATCAAATAACCAATTATTCACACAAATGTAAACTAAGGCCCACTACATTTTAGTTAGGAATTGCATAAGCTACACCAAAGCATGAGAAGTCATCGAGCTATCTATGTAACAAAAGTTTTAAGTTAACAGGCTTGGCAGCTACTGTTGGTAATGGAAAGAGTGAGGCCTGGCTATTTAATAAATAATATTGCAGAATTCTAGTCCAAACTGAATAGTCAAGTGTCCACATTAACATCACCGTGTTGAGTATCCAGCATGGATACATATAAATACTCTAATTATTAGCCTATTAGACAACACTTATGACATGCATCATCCTATCAATTGCCAATTGGCAGGTGCCGAGTACGTATCTGTTGCCTCTCTACACAGTGGTCATGACAACTAGGAGATCCTCACAACTCAAATTGGAGGTAAAATGTAACTTTGTACTATAGAATCTTTTTATAGGGTAAAACCTTAAATCCTCTCTTTCCCTCCTTCACATTAGAAGTAGCCCTTTCCTCCAGTCCCTCACAAAAAGAAAATAGTAGTAGAAGACTAGAAGAGGAATTATACAAGCATGTAATATACACAGATACACATCTTAACTTCAAGTGTCTCAAATCCATGGTCATACAGTACGAATATATGAGAACTAAAAATTACGTTTGGCGGGGGTTTACCTCAAGAACTCGCACTCGTAGCTTTAAATCTCCTGTTTCTAGTTGCTTCACAAACTCTTCTATGCGCTGGACTCGGTATGGCATGGATACTGTGTAGTCTCTGGCCTGCAAATATGAGATAAATTGATGGATTGTTAAATCAACTGTCTGAGCAATTTAGGAAACAAGAACTAATAGCAAGACAAAAGATTTGCTACATCTTCAGCTTGTTTCCTTATCTCCTGCACGAGTTGAACTCCTGTACGACGCCTGTCTTTCAGCTCAAGAAGCTCCTGCAGGGAGTTTATATACATATTAGATCTACTGCTGAAAGAAAAATTGACATACACATAAGTACTAGATGATAACATTATGCTTTATTTATCTCCATTACACATACTTGAGCATATGGTGCAGCAATCTTCACAAAGGAGAAATCCGGGTCAAGAAATTTGCCAACGCCTAGAGGAAAAAAGGGGAGATTGTCAAGTTTCGTCATATAATCACAAAATAATGCTCTCTTATAGCAGCAAGTAAGTTATTTACAGTCAATTAACTCAAACAACTATACTGGTGGGGTCTGGATAAACAACAGAAAGATTAAAGAGCACACTAAAAATTAACAATCTAGAACACCCTTTTAGCTTATACCATCTGTTTCTAGGTTCATAATCTCCTGTAATTTTACTGACTCAAAGCAAAAATAGTTACCCTCTAGCAGGAATGGGGTAGGATAATGAGCTAGCAATCTAGAACCTGACGATTGAAGTGAGCTATAAGTATATAATATGATGATCGAGTAATTTCCATACTATACTCAATGTCAGGACCAGGAGAGGATTGTACTTCTCTTAATGCTGATTTGACAAAATAAGATGCAGCACACTCAAGACACTATAATCACTAGTACATCAGTACATCCTGAACAGTTATGTTTAAGGATTCCAATCATCATAGTAAGAGAACACACCCTCATATCATAAATTAATCACCAACAAAGCTCAGGTCTTTTTTTTTACAATGTCAGCAGTGTAACAAACGAACACACTTTTTGCACTCTTCTGCTTCAAAAAATTTGGCTAGTGTGAGAAATTCTTTTTCATCCATTGTATTTTAAAAAAAGGACTAATCAGTCTGGTCTGGTAAACCGTGGCCAACTGGAAACTGATAATATTTTATTATGTGCATATGTGCGGTGTGCCGGTGTTCTGATAGGAAAGAGTCAGCAGAAGAATACCTTCAAGAGTTGAAAATGCCCTTAAGACGAAGGTAAAGGTAGATGGAAAGCGAAAGGGCTGATCTTGGGCAATAGCAAACAAATCCTGGAATATTTACAATTCATATAACAGAGTAAATCAGAAACAAAAGGATAGTGAATAGATCAAAATCAAGACCATCACCTGCGCTATATAGTAAAAGCATTCAGTAAAAATTCATCAGAGAATTCCATACTTAGGCCATGTTCTCTTAACCTTATTTTTGCTGAATTGAAATTATTTTTACTTAATACTTCGTACTTGATTACTTGTATAGTTGTATTATTTTTAAGGTGAAGAGGTCCTTATAAGGTCACAAGTTCGTACATCTAATAACTTCAAATATTTTCTGTACAAATAAGCTAAAAGGTTATTAGGTGAAAAGTACTCAAAGCTTTAACAATATAGAATAATATCTTATGGACCATGATTAATGAATAATGCAGATAAGTAAATCCCAATAGTAAAATAAATTTCCTCCCTCCCCCCCCCCTCCCTCTCACACTCAAAACCTATGAATAAAAGCAGCAATGTGAACTGGAACCTGATACCTTATCCTGCAAAACAAATTCAAGGTTGTGTTGTGTACTTTTTCATCTTGCAAAAGGTAAATTTCTGGCCTAATAAGTTTATATAAGAGTAAGTTCAAGACAAAGATAGGTTCAGATAAGGTAATAAAGTGTAACAAGTTCAGATATGTCTAACGGTTTTCAATTTTACAGACTACAGGCTACACAGCCTAGACCTAAAAAATATATACACCAATTTATAAAAGCCATCATGAATGCATGAGGCGGTCTAGCTAACCAAGGAATAGATTGAATAAGATGTTGATTTTCATACCTCACCAATAGCAGCCAATGTTTGCTGTTGATCTGGTGATTGACTCAATAAATTGTCTAAGAAGAACTGCACAGATCTCTTCACCTGTAAGCCAAATGAGAAGCTTTTCAGGTTTAAGATGCAGTGACACAAGAAGTGTTTATGACTTCCTGAAATTACATACCGCAGACAAATCTCCTGTAGGCTGAAGTGCTCCAAGATCAATGAGACTCCTAATTACCTGAGTGGATGAGGTTTTTCAGCAAATAATGAATAGGTTTTCCAGTGAAACCGAAGTTGAATCAACAATAAGCTTCTATACTACTCCCTCCGTCCCATAATAATCGACACGTTTGACCTTTTTTCACTATACACATAATAACTTGGACCGTAGATTCTTAGTAACATATAAAAAAAAATTTATCATAAAATATGTTGTTAAATAGGTATTAATACAAAGTTTCACAATATCAACTTATTATTTTTACTAATTTTTAATTATATACATTTGAGGTCAAATTAGCTCATTGGCATGTGTGTCATGTTTGAGGGTGTCAATTATTCTGGCATTTTGGGACGGGGAGAGTAATAAAGTCACCAACAGACACCCTTCATCCAGCCAAATGAAGAAGTTGATATAGCATATACTCACCAACATACTCTTTGAGAAAAGCTAAGCCTTAGGCTGGGAAATAAATTAAGAAGCATAAGATGTTGATGATGGCGAGCTACCAAATTATGTTAAAAGTCTAATCGATATACATATCCAGTGAACCCGACAAACTTTATGTGCTATTGGCCTATTGCAAATTGCTAAAATCTGTTACAGAAAGGTAGTAAAATGCATATTAATACCTTTGTTGCATCTTTCTCGTAAACTGCATAAAACAAATCCAGCAATCTTTCCCGTGTGAAAGATTTGATTTCTCCCATCATTCCAAAGTCGTAATAGATGATTGCTTCATCCTTGTCAATAGCAAGATTTCCAGGATGAGGGTCAGCATGAAAGAAGCCTGTCTTTAATATCTGCAATGATCCAAAATAGAGAAAAAAAATTATCAGTGCAACAAAGAACAGTAATTAGAGTAGTCAAAAGAACACACTCAAACTTTCAACTCTCGTGGCTAACAGTTGAGACTTTGAGACATAACCATCAGCCAAGAATTAATTAATCCCATCAATCAGTTTAATTGCAGAAAGGAGTAAGGTGAAGAGTATATCTAAGTTGTCAATTTCTTAATCATTTTACTGCATAAAGGCCATATATTTCCACAGTAAAGATTGTAGTCTGCATTTCCAATTAATAGCTACTAGATTGCACTGACAAGAAGAAATGCTTAATACATGATGCATAAAGCATGGAGTTTAAAAAATGACAAACACAGCATTGCAGCATGATATCTAATTACTACGTACAACCACATTGTAGCACACTGGCACATATCACTTTTTTCTCATGTACAGTCCTTCAAAGAATCCATAAGGAACTGAAAGGTTCAACATTATCATGCACATGGTACCTGAATTAAGTATGCTTCAATAGCACGTGATGCAATCCGAGAACGATTATAGCCACGTGCATCCAGCTTGGCCAAATTATTTATTTTCACACCTGATTGAAAAAGGAATCGATCAATTTGGTGAAATAAGCATTCAAAATTAAGCTTCTTAAAGGACTAATTAATTATACAGAGTAGTTCAACTCAGGCCAGAGCATATGAATACCAGCATCATACCTGGAACATATTCCAAGGTCAAAACCTTTAAGGCAGTATAATCCCAGTGAATCATCTGAGTAAGAGAAGGATACAATCACACTATTTTACTAAACAAGTTAACAAGGGAGGTAAAAAATACATGTAAAGACAATAGCTTGAAAATAGAAATGCCCAACAGAAAGAAACTCACAGGTACTCGAACCCATTTGACATTACGGAAATCCCGGCGAAATCTATCAGCATTTTTCCCTTCATTGATGTAGTCTATTTCTTGGTACAAAATTCTGCAGCACAATTTAAAAGTGAAAATTTCACAGGTCTAGTAAGTTCCAAGGAAATGCATGCCAAGCATTACAGTGGTCAAAGGCTGTCAAATTATCAAACAAAAAAAGATCAGTGTGTGTGTGTGTGTGTGTGTGTGTTTTGATAAGAAAGGGATAAAATGTTTCGTAGAAAAAAAAGGATAAAATGTTGATAAGAACCCAAATAATATTTTCATGAAAAAAAGAAATTTATAAATACTAGATACTTGTCAGCATTATTTTTTTAATGCAATCTTTAAGAGGGTGATATAGTCAATTGAGCCAAAAAAATTTCAAATTAAAGTGATAGTGTATTATGAAGAAGAAAGTTTTGATCAAGTTCTAGACTTCTAGTAGAGCAACTTCAATGAATTCAGTTTAGCATTTTAAGCATCCTATTATTTCATATGCAAGATAAAATAATGTTCTATGCAAGAAAGAGTTGCTAAGAGTGTAAGACAATAACATATGTATCACGAGAGCAACAATTTGCAATCAAACAGTATAGTTAGATTAGTAATTAACCAGTGGCTTCTAGTCACAAGAAAATCAGCAGAAATAACAAAGGATATAGTAATTACAAAGGAGCAAATATCTTGAATAACAGCTCTGATGTGAAAGTATGCAACAAATATCTTGTACAGTACCAACTAAGCTATGCATATAACCTAAAAGGGGATTGGGGGGAAAGGGAAGGACATTCTAGCACTGGAGTCAAATACTAACTATGTTTTATATCCCAGTACTTTTTTTTTTTTTTTTTATCGAGTTTTTGGACAAATCACAAGTGGTTCATACTTCATAGTTGTGAGGACTGAGGATTGCTGCTACACATGTATTTAAGTGGAATGACAGCTCTTTTTGTTTCAAACTTACAGGGGATTTATTATCTTTTGTTTATAAAGCGATACACTAGTCAAACCACTCTCATCAGCAGTTAGAGCTTCCCTACATATTCATCAGCATGATTGGCCTAACTATAACTCCGAGACAAATTCATCAGCATGATAGGGCTAACCATTACTCTGAGCCAAATCATTCTATATGAAGTTTTTTTTTTAGCATATGAGACTATGAGTAACCTGATTGTACAGTCACTTTATTGTTATAAGGCACCTTTCTACTTCATTTGTTTTTAACCATTAGCATATACAAATCAGTTCCCTATTTTCCTGTCATAAGGACAATGGTATAGGCACGAGATCTTCCAAAACCACCACAGAGTGATTTTATAACTCCCAAATTCTTTAGAGGATGGCAGAATAAATACAACCAACCCATCAGCAACCAACCAAGAACCTCAGACTGTCACTCCTCAATCTGTAACTATTTACAGTTCCATTCATCCATGCCCGACATGCATAAGTTAAAGGCAAAGGGATGTTGATGTAAGCTACTTTAACAACACAATATAGGACTACACCTCTTGAACTTAGACATTGTGAAAACTAATTGTTATGTCCGATTAAGCTATCAAGTTATATTTTTCCAACAACATTTGGTCATATCAACCCTTAAAATGTAAAAAACCCTCATCCTACCTTAATCCCAGCATAAATTCTAATGCATCGTATTAAATCCAATTAAGACAACCACCAAGGTCAATAGAGAAAAAGGACAAGAATTAGAGCTGAAAGCACAAAGTACAGCATATCATCCTCCATAGAGAATTAACTCAAAGAAGGAACACCAGTGAAATTTTAACAACAAAAAAGAAATAACAAACAGTTTAGAACTTACGTAGCACATTCTTCATATATACCAATCCAATCCCTAGTTGGACCTCCTAAAGACTCACTTTTCTGGAAATATTCTGCAATCAGCTTCAGATTTCCTGAGTTTAAAGTAGCCAATTATTTTATGCAGAAACCTCTGGAAGCTAAATTGAGAGACAAAAAAAAAAAAAAAAAAAAAGTGTAGCAACCTACAATTCATGTATGACTTCATTATATATCATGGAGAATAGCAACTATGACGCAGGCCACGTAGCAAGTGTAGATGGTCTTTCTCATAAGATGCTAATGTAAATAATGAAAGGTGACAAGAAAAAAGGAAAGTATGACCATAACCAACTGATGAGGTTTCTGCCTAGAGAGAGCAAGTGGTGAAGGTTTTTAAATGTAGGTAAAGAAAAAAAATTAGTCTGATTATTATATGAGCAGTGAAAATCCCTTTATTGCTAATCTCATTTTATTCGCAGGCCAATAAGCTTGAAAAAAAAGTATAAGACCAAAATCATCATGATTTAATGCTTTATAAGTTAAGGGAACATATTATTAGAAAAACTATTTCACAAGGACAATTTAATTGTTTTAAGACGGTGCTCGAGAGCCAATCCTACCCTATAGTGTTTTGGTGAGACTGTTGCTTTAGTTATAGACAATTTTTGGTAGTCATAATAAGTCAGCATTGCTTACGTAAATCAATATCAAAAAGTCTCTTCAAGCCAGGCCTTTGAACTTTTACAACAACTTTCTCTCCATTATGCAGGATAGCTCGATGAACCTACAAGGGACATTAACAATGTTTAATGTCACAGAATTGAGTAAGCACTTGAAATGCAGCATGCCAGCACAAAACAGTCTATATTAGTCATAAATTCTAGTTTGCATTATTCAAATCTCATTCTTGCTTTATATTCCCTATATGGAAAGTTAAAAATGCAAGAATACTTTTAGCTGTGTCAAAAATCTAGTGAATTCAGTTATATTAGTATGTGTGCTGATGTGGTTATTTTATTTTTATTTTTATTTTTTTTCACCATGAGAACAACTTTATTTGATCAGCCCTTACATAATCAGAAAACAGATATATAGCTTTTGCAAATTTAGTAAGCACAGGAAGCTACAGTAACATTTTCTGTAGAATATACATGTAATAATACAAAATTTACAAATTTATCTAAATATTTTGTCAATGTAGCAGATCAGCAAGGATATCTTAGCCTCCAAGCGTAAGATGGACACAAGGTCATTTAATCATCTTACTGGTGGAAAAATGCCCCCAAAAACCTCCTCGCTTATAAAATTATGAGGCTTATCTTATCAAATGGTAAACCACCATCACATCAGGACTAAAATGCTGAGAGAAATCAACTTCAACATCCCCAAGTAAGTTCTTATGATCTCTTGTCTATTTTACCAGAATTAATCTTTCAGTTTTCAAAGCAGCATTTTCTATCTTGAAGACAGTCGCAATATAGAAAGAATGATATGGAAATCTCAAGAAAGTATAAATAAGAAATGAAGTGTGGCATTGTTTGTGACATCCTTGTTATAGAATTATGCTTTGGTTTTGCATGGTTAGGGTAGTTCTTTGATCTCAAGATGCTCTGGCCCATGAAAAGGCACTTTATACCAGGAGCAGAGGAACTTGACTTTAACTATCTTGAATTATATAAATCCAGAATATACAACTGGAAATTACAGTAATTTTTAAATCAAGTTCACATTTTAGTAAACTGCTTGAAAGGGCCTCTTGACTAATCTTGATTTGTTAGAAGTAATGTTGTGTACATATTGTGATACGGACCCCCAAAATGTCCACAAATCAAAGATAAGTACATAACCATATTTCAGACTTGTTGCGATTTAAGTCAAGTCCCAAGAAGAATAATACGTAGTACAGTATATGGAATATCGCCGTATGACATTGCTATCCATTCAAGAGCAGCCTTAAATAAACGTTCACAACTGACCCGAGAATTTACTGAAATTATTTTTACCACTGTGATCATTTGACAAAGAAAAAGAGTAAAAGTCAGAAGGGACACCTGACCAAGACTAGCAGCAGCAATAGGCTGATCTTCAAATTCTCTAAAGAGAATGTCAACAGGAGCTCCAAGTTCAGCAGCAATGAACTCTTTTGCTTTGTTCGATGAAAATGCAGGTACCCTATCCTGCAAACAATTCCATATGTAAAATAAGCTCATCAGAATCTGAATATAAATGATATTGCTTTGCTTTGAATAGAGCATAGAAAAGGCATCTTGTGAGTTGTGACCATATATGTCTAACCTGCAACTTCGCAAGCTCATCTACATACTCTCGGGGAAATAAATCAGATCTCGTAGATGATAGTTGCCCAATTTTAATAAAAGTTGGACCAAGCTGCAGCACACGTTCCCTCAACCATGAAGCAGTTCTTTTCCTTCTCTTCTTCTGCACATAACAGTATTGAGAGCGTATGTAAATAAAGCCCAAACAAAATTACTAAAAGTGTAACTGTTAGAGCCAAAGGACAGGAGAACATGATCCAAACAGGATAGAAGCAATAGGCATCAAATTAACATTTTTTTAAAAAAATATTTATAAAAAAAGGACATGAAACATACTTGCTTCTCTTCATCAAATCCACCAATGTATGCCCATTTTGCATTCTCTAATAAAACACGTACACGAAGAGAAAGAACAAACGACCAGACATCAGCAGACCTTTGGACAGAACTGTAATTGTCATTAGCCCAACTAAACCCTGCATCACTCGGCATTACCCTTGGTTCCTCTAAAGGAGGAAGTCCTTCATCCTCCAAAACTCTGGACCTCTTAACCAAGGATGAAGGAGCTTCTCTTGTAACTATATTCACTCCATTAACCACCTTACTTGCTCCATTAATAACCTTACTTGCTCCATTGATATTCTGCTTGGTACCATTCACTGCTCTAGCCTTGTTAACAGGGGGGTTTCTTATAGTTTTTTACAACTTCACTTGTTGGCACCAATTTAATTGAATGTTTGTCACTACCAGTACCTGTCGGCTCTTTGGTTTGTCGCATCTCCACCTGAAACCGGAAACCTTTAGTAAAGGCTTGCCCCTCAGACTTGGGCAATCGTCTCCCAGAAATCGAGCATGAAGAACCAAGGTCATCAACTGCTGTTCTTTGTTGGTATAGCTCAAAATTGCGGCAATAACAGCCCTGTGAAGCTAGTATTGCCGCCATTTAAGCAAGATCCTCACAAAAACTGATCAAACACAAACTTTATGTTACAATTACAACTAGTTCTAAAACCATGACATAAATGAAGTCTTCAGAAAATCAAATTCCACATTTAATAAAAATAGTAATCAAATAGCTACAATGAACAATGAATTTAACTCAATCAACACTTCAAATTTACACAAAACTACACATGATATCATTCCATGCAAACTTAAGTAACGAAATTCGATGTAAATAGAGCAATTAACCTACCAAACTCAAGTCCTAGCAATACCACAAGCTGATGTCAGTACATTACAAACATACATATTCAACAAACACAAAACTATCAAACGTCCAATATCATAACAGAAGTATATTAAAACAAATTGATTGTCACGTTGATAATGTTTAAACTAGTAACGTGACAACTAAGTTCGGACCGAATTAGTAATATACAAAACAAACCCCACCAACATAATAGAACTAATAATCAACTTCAATTTAGCAAATGGCGTGCAAGAAACATATACCCACATAACCATTAATCAATTTTACAGTAAAAAACACAAAAAAAAAATGTTACCTTTCAGAAAGACCCAGTATCAAAGCAACACGCTATTGCCAAATTCTCCTCAAACCCAGAAATTAAATCAATCAAAAATGTCAAAATCGAGAGTTTCTTAACAATTTGACTATTCATACATCAAAAAATCAAAGAGGGTATTGTATTTGTTGCAAAGAGAAAGAGAGAGATTGAGAAAATTTTAGAATAATTAATAAAAATAAATAAATTTAATTAAAGGAAGTATAATTTGGACTGACAATGAATATAATTAATGGATGCAAATGCGTTTCGTGTGTATATGCACATCAACGGCTGTGAGTCACAGACTTTTGGACGAATAGTAGTTGCTGTATTTTCACTGTTTGGTAAACTAACTGTTGACGTGTCCTTTGCTGTCACCTGTGATACCGTCACAGCCGATGAAATATGTACTAGTTGTCTCGTACAGTGTATAGTAGTATTTAGTATTAGTACAAAGCTGGGAAAAACATTAGGATTTTTCTAGTATTAAAATATCATATAACTAATATATAAAGCTAAACTTTTAGCCAAACGACGAGATAGCGACACTTGGCGCTCTAACTTTTCGCCAAGTGTTGCGCCACGTAAGATATAGTTATATAGAATTCAATTTGTATGATAAAAAAATTAATTTAGAATTCTATTTTCAATCAAATTTGGATAGAATTTTAGGATGAAATTGTTAATTTAGAGTTTTATTTTCGATAAAGTACCAATATTTCATATGTACAAATTAAATTATAGTTTTATTAAAAAAAATTATTACACTCATAAATTATAGAGCTGTCAATTCGGGTAAACGGGTAGGGTTTGGGTTGGGTTAGTGTGGGTCGGGTCAACTCGGGTCGGTTAATTTTGGGTTAATGTCATAATCTTTACGGGTCGGGTTCGGGTTGGGTCATGCTTGAGTCGGGTAACGTCGGGTCATACATCTTTTCGGGTTTGGGTCGGGTTTAGGTCGGGTTAATAACATGTCGGGTTACATTCGGGTCGGGTGAATAATAGGTCGGGTTTAATTCGGGTTTTCACGGGTTAAAACGGGTTAGGGTCATTTTCGGGTTCGAGTCGGGTTCGGTTCAAGTCAATAATTTGCGGGTTATAACCAGGTCGGGTCAATCTCGGGTTTGAGTCGAGTTCGGTTCAAGTCATATAATTTGCCGGTTATAATCAGGTCGGGTCATTTCCAAGTCGGGTCATTCCCGGGTTCAAGTCGGGTTCGGTTCAAGTCGATTATTTGCGGGTTACAATCAGGTCGGGTCATTTACAAGTCGGGTCATGTTCGGGTACAAGTCGGGTTCAGTTCAAGTCGATTATTTGCGGGTTACAATCAGGTCGGGTCATTTACAAGTCGGGTCATGTTCGGGTTCGGATCTCAAATATTGGGTTAATCTGGGTATCGGGTTGATTTCAGGTCTAGTCATATCAGGTTTGGGTACATTTTCTGGGTCGCTTTGTTAACAGCGTATGTAATGACATTCACGTTGACTCATTATCAATTACTTCGCTTATTATAAGAGAAATAATTTCACATAAGTTAAATTCTAATAAATCTAGATAAGATAAGGTTTAATTTAGATTTTTAGAAGATAAGTTCAAACCCTATTCTAATCTATTCACATTGTTTCCACTCATTGTAGGGATAACAATTTCAGATAAGTTCATATCCGAGATGACTTGTTTTGATAAAATACAATAAGTTCATATAAATTCGGATAAAATAAGTTTAGTTTAGATAAATTAAAATACAACAATTTTTTTTCTAAACTTATTTTATTTGAAATTATCTAAACCTATTTATTTTTTATAAGTTCATATCCGAGTTCACGTTTTTTTTAATGGCATTTTTTTTAAATAAGATTAAATAGGCAAATGAATAATAAAATTAGAAAAAAAAAAAGATCAATAAAAGCCTTTTAACAACTCTTGTTCGAGTCACCACTTTCTCGAGTACAAACAAGTCAAGTCATGATCGGGTACAGGTAAATTATGTGGGTCAGATTATCATCTTATTCAATCATTATCACGTTCAATTCAATCATTATTCAAAATTATTATTATTTTTAACTTTTTTTTATTTGAATTTTTTTTTTATATATAAAATATAGGATAAAACAAACAAGCCTAAGGTCAAATTGTATTTGTAAACCGTAATTGACTACATTAATGCACATGCGCCTATATAGTAGTAGTATTCGTACACCATAATTGTTTAATTGAAATATATAATGAACTTGCATATAAAAAGTAGTAGTATTCGTAAATCGTAATTACTAGAGAATTGTAATACAAATAATAGAGAATTTTATTGAAAATATTTGAATAAGCTTAAATAGGAAAATAACTCATATAATTAGGGAAAAAAATATGACATAATATTATTTGGAGAAAAATGTGATAGTTTACGACTTAATTAGGTAACAAAATAAAAAAAAATATATAAAAAGGAAAAAGAGTGATTAGAGCGTTCATTTCAATCATCAGTAATTCACTCTCAAACTTCAAATTATCACCTTCATTAGAGCGTAGAACTCCTAATATACTAAAATTCTCAGCGCAAATCTCGCCATTTCCGCCATTACAATCTAGATTTCCTAATATACTAAAATTCAGAGATCCACCCATGGCTATAATTGACGAGGGTTAAATCGGTCGCTACAATCTAACTCTCAATCAAACAATACTTATACGAACACCCTATAACCAAGTACAATGGCAAATAAAGGTTCGGTCCACGAGGAACGAGAGTAATTGCAAATCAATCTTAAACCTAAGCTAGTTCGAAATCAATGGAAAATGGTGTTCTAAAATACTACTAATAAGATGGAATAAATCAATAAACTAAGACACTAGGGAGAACGGGAATTCACCAAACCATCGGTAACTACGCAACAAGGAATCACAGAGACAAACGGGATATGCAAAGACTATATGTCTGATCAATATCATGTGATAGGAAGACAACGGGCAATACTAAGCTTGGATTTCTCATGCACTTAACATTACTCGATACATAATCAAACCACATTCAATAATGAAATACTCAATTCACAATCTCTTGTTCAAATCAAGGATATCATGCAATCAAATTCAAGATTCTAGGTTAGCTACTCCTATTATAATGAATTAACATGCAATCGCATATAATCAATTTAATCACAATCCGTTTATCAAAATCAATCCTCAATTACATAGATTACCTAGGCTGGGTTTCATCCCGAAACCCTAGCTAGGAGACTACTCACACATATTCATAATCAAAGCAATAATGAATTCCAAAAGCATAATAGATATAAACATGAATTCTGATTAAGGAATAATAAAGCTTGATTAATAAACAAGAATGAATCATACCAATTGTATTGATGCGAATCAATGGAAAAGTTCAGAACTTTGATATCCGTCGTCAATGAATAATACAAAGAATCTTCACAAATCTTGCTTCAAATCAATCCAAGAAAACTAAAATCGCTAGAATAATCTCTAAGAAAACTAATGAATCTCTAATACTAAGAACGTTCTTCAATAACTCTCTACAAAGGCTCTCAAAACTATCTCTAAAAACTCTCTTTTAATCCTCTTAAAGTCGGGCCTTATATACGTATTCTAATTCGGAGAAGTCAAGCGCGCAGTTAACCCTGGATCAGCACGGCCGTGCTGTATTTGGCACGGCCGTGCTAGCTTGTCAGTAAGTAAACCGGGTTTCTTCTTCAAATTGGCACGGCCGTGCTATATATGGCACGACCGTGCAGCTTCCTGGCACGGCCGTGCTGAATTTGGCACGGCCGTGCTAATGCCTGGCACAGCCGTGCTGAATCTGGCACGGCCGTGCTAATGCCTGGCACGGCCGTGCTGAATCTGGCACTGGCACGGGCATGGAAATTGGCTTGGCACGGCCGTGCTAATGCCTGGCACGGCCGTGCTGAATCTGGCACGGCCGTGCAGCATAGGCAGGAAGGTTGCAGGCACTCTGTTTGAGGCGTGCAATATATCGTTGGAAAGCTCTTCAAGTCTACTTTCCAATGCAATTGGAATCACTCCATTATCATTTGTATACCGAAAGTTGTGAGCAAAATAGTGAACAGGTGTCATATTTGTGAACTGTTCTGCCTTGCCTGCTACTTAACTTGCCTTTCAAGGCCTTGAGAACCGCAGCAAAGCCTTAGCTTGGTGGACTAGGATCGATAATAGCCTGATTACGCACCAATGGTTTGGGACTCGACATAACTTGGTCAACTATACCTGTTATCACACCAAAAACAGACCGAAACCCGTGAAGCACGTAATATGAAGGAAACGAGTGTAACAAGGCAATAAACGACCAAAACGGGCCTAAATACATCCAAAATCACCCATTTATATGCCTTAAAGCGCGCCCTAATGTGCGCTTGTCAAAATCCCCCAAGCTACACTTTTGCTAGTCCTCGAGCAAAACTAAGGGATACACACACACACATGATCAAATAAACTATTGCCATTACATATAAATCCAATTTAGCACGGAATGAAATCAATGGATCCTACTTAGAACAACCATGCACGGAATGAAAACTCACTCAAACAAGCAACGAGACACACAATCCAAGGTATCGTTGATCAAAATGCAAACAAAACCTAAACCAAGCATAGAGAACAAAGAAGTCATGCTTCCCTCTAAACCCAACCAAACCGGCCACGTCCTCCCCTTTTGCTTCAAATCACCACCCTAATTGGCCCCTCGTGATTCCTCGAAGGAACCGGAAAAAAGTGATATTTGGAGGAAATAACAAAGGTATCCCGACATCTCGATTACGCATAATCTTTCCATAGGGTTGAAAGGTATCTCCCTCCACCGTTTGAGAACCGAACACCTCTAAAGTCTAAGGGTCTTAAAGGGTTGTAATGTATTGGCAATGGGTAAGGTAGGTGAAAACAATTTAAAAAATGGGGTTAATTCTAAAATGAAGCGCAAGAA